AAGCTTGAAATATACATGACGCGGCCAGGCTGGGCGAGAGTGGGATACACGTCTGGCCAAATGTCAGATGTCCTTCTGTCGCTCGGCCTTCTCTATGGCAGGGCTTCTTGGCCCTCCGCGTCGCGGCCTTCGGATGTTTTTTCGAGGCGATTCCAGCCACGAGTGTTTCCCAGCCGCCTGGCAGGTCCCTTCTCGGATCACCGCTGTTGGGAGGCTGCCGCAGATTCGACGGGGTGGTGACAGCGGACGGTCTGCGCTATCGGAGAGCTGCGACCCTTCAAGATGGAACGATCCAGGGGTCCGCCGCCATTCTGGCCCAAGACTGACGGGCGCAGCGCGGGCCCCTCGGGGCCGATCCGCGACACCGAACCAGCCGAACACTCTCTTCACTCGCGCGGCATGTCGCCGCAGAGGGTGCCAACCGCCCTCTTGGCGCTCCTGCTCGTCGGCGGCGCCCCCCGCTCGGCCGCCATCGGCGTGCCCGGCGTGGAGCCAGCAGGCCAGCAGTTGACGTCCAAGCGCGTCGGAGCGTCGTATTCCGCCGTGTCTGGCAGCTACTTGGGCCAGGCCACGGGGGCCTGGGGGGGGTTCACCAGGGACAAGACCGTGTACTGTCTGGCGGAGTCGACGACGCTGCAGCTTGCCGGAGATAATTCTTGGCACGCGATGGGCACCACGTGCTGCGACGGCTCGGGTTCGGGATCTCGCCCCGGCTGCAGAACCGGGTCTTACAGCACTGCCGTGTCGCACTGCTCGGCCTATGGGCTGCGCCTGTGCACCCTATCGGAGCTCCAGGGCGGCGCAGGCGAGGCCCACGGGTGCAGCTTCGACGACGGCCTCGTGTGGAGCTCCGACGGCTGCGGCGCCGCGACGCCCAGCCCGACGCCCTACCCGACGCCCAGCCCGACGCCCTACCCGACGCCTGGCCCGACGCCCAGCCCGACGCCCTACCCGACGCCCAGACGCCCTACCCGACGCCTGGCCCGACGCCCAGCCCGACGCTCGACCCGACGCCCAGCCCGACGGCCACCGTTCCCGCTTCTGGCGGTGTCGGGGCCGTCGCCGCCACCGGCGATCCCCACTTGCAGAATGTGCTTGGTCAGCGCTTCGAGTTGATGCAGCCTGGGAAGCACGTTCTGGTGAACATCCCTCGTGGGAGGCACACGAGCGCAATGCTCCGCGTCGAGGCCGAGGTGAGCCAAGTGGGTGGACACTGCACAGACATGTATTTCCAAGAGATCAATGTCACAGGGGCGTGGGTGACAAAGGAAAGCCCGGGCGGCCTCCGCTTCCAAGCTCAGAGCGTGCGCGGCGACGAGCCGAAGTGGGCAACGTTCGGAAAGGTGGAGCTGAAAGTTACTCATGGCCATACTCTGGCTGGCGTCCCGTATTTGAACCTTTACGTCAAGCACCTTGGTCATGCTGGATTTGCTGTCGGAGGTCTGCTAGGCGAAGATGATCACGCGGAGGCGGCGACGCCATCGGAGTCGTGCGTTCGCCGCGTGTTCCTTCGTCAGCGTGCGGGTCCGAACGATCAGAGTGGATTCTCAGAGGCCGAGGCGAGCTTCGCATAAGAACTTGTTCAGCGCCAGATAGTATTTGGCTTACTTCTTCCAGGTGATGCGTCTAAGGAACATTAGCAGCATTTCGAACACGGCAGTTTTCGAACGCCGCAGTTCTGGACACGGCCCACGGGCCGCCCTTGAGTCGAATCTTCTTGTGCATCGTCAATTCTGTCTCTTTGCGTAGATCGCCCAAGACCCGGACGATCATCCAGCGCGGTGTGCGGTCTGCCGGCCGTCCTCTTCGGACCTACGTCCGGCGGCTGGTGGACGCCCCCCGCGCAGGCCGAAGCAGTCTCGGTGCAAGCTTCGACTTTTGCCACGGACGTGCCACAAACAGTATCCTGGCGAAGAACCCAACCGTATGCAGTCGTGAGCATCGCAGTTGTAAGCATTGTCCTTCCAGGAGCTCCCCCTGGGCCGCGAAACCTTGTACTGGGCAGGGGAGACATATGCGAACTGCGCCACCTAAGTAGGACCTCCGGTGGAGCTCCCTATGAGGCCACGAAACGCTGTACTGGGTCAGGGGGGCGCATGCGAAATGCGCCACTGGGCCCCTCGGTGGAGCATCCTCTGGGGCAACGAAACGCTGTATTCATGTGTGTGTGTGTATGTGTGTGTGTGTGTGTGTGTGTGTGTGTGGGACGCATGCGACCTGCGCCACTGGCTGGGACCTTCGGTGGAGCGCCCTCTGGGGCCACGAAGCGCTGTGCTGGGCGGGGGGGACGCATGCGAACTGCGCCACTGAGTCCTTCGGTGGAGCTCCCTCTGGGGCCACGAAGCGCTGTACTGGGCGGGGGGGACGCATGCGAACTGCGCACCTGGGACCTTCGGTGGAGCACCCTCTGGGGCCACGAAACGCTGTATGCGTGTGTGTGTGTGTGTGTGTATATGTGTTTGTGTGTGTGTGTGTCTGTGTGTCTGTGTGTCTGTGTGTCTTTGTGTCTTTGTGTCTGTCTGTCTGCCTGTCTGTCTGTCTGTCTGTCTGTCTGTCTGTCTGTCTGTCTGTCTGTCTGTCTTGTTGTCTGTCTGCCTGCCTGCCTGCCTGCCTGCCTGCCTGTCTGTCTGTCTGTCTGTCTGTCTTTCTGTCCGTCTGTCTGTCTGTCTGTCTGTGTGTCTGTGTGTGTGTGTGGGGGGCATGCGATCTGCGTCACTGGGGCCATCGGTGGACATCCCCTTGGGGCCACGAAGCGCTGCACTGGGCGGGGGGAACGGATGCGAACTGCGCCACTGGGACCTTCGGTGGAGCTGCCCCTGGGGCCACGAAGCGCTGTACTGTCTGCCGGAGACGCACGAGGGCGGTGCCATTGTGGCCTTCGGTGGAGCTCCCTATGGGGCCAGTTGTTCGGAACCCTCCGTATTACAGCATGTGAGAGTTTTATGCGGAAATTCTTTGGAGACAGTTTTTTCTTCCACGGATGGACTGTAAAGAATTCCAACCACGTTCAGCGAATGATGAACCAGAAGGTCGAATGATGAATCATAATGTGATTTGGGGGAATCGAAGTGACGAAGGAAGGAACACAGGAGAGGCTTATGATGAAGTGGTTGGTCATCGAGAGAAGCAGAGAGCAAACGTTTGGCTAAATTCGGCTCTGATGTTATGCGTGACGCATTGGGCTGCCTTGTAGGCATCTTAGCGTCATTTGAGCCGTCTTGGTCTTCCCAGCTATATTGGGATTTTTTGAGGCGTAGTGAGCTACTTTTTTGTCTTGGAGGAGCTCTTGGAGACGTTTCGGGCTGTCTTAGAGGCGCCTTGGGTGACCTGCGATGCTGTCTTGGGCTATCTTGACGCGACGTGGGGCAGTCTTGGGTACATCTTGGGCTTTGCTGGAGGCGGAGCTTGACCAGGCCATCGGGCGATGTGTTCCTCGGGTCTTGCCTCGACACCTTCGGGGAACACTTGAAGGGAAAAGAGGATGAGAAGGAGAGGGGAGAAACAGCAGGAGGGAGCAGGAAACTTCTTGAAAGCTTCTCGGGACACTCTTGGGATCTTAGTGCTTTCAAAGGACCTTTTGAAGGCCTCTTGGGAGGCCTCCTTGGGCTTCTTGGGGACCCCTGGGGGCTCTTTGAGAGCTTCTTTGGTCGTCTTAGGGCGTTCCTGGCCCATCTGACCCCGTCGGAAAGGCGTCTTGGAGGGCTCTTGGGTCGTCTTGGAGCCTTCTAGGGGCCGTCTTGGGGGCTTGTTGGGCTGTCATGGGGCCATTTTGGAGGTCTCTTGGGCGATCTTGGAGCTATCTTGGGAGCCTCTTGGACCGTCTTGGGCCGTCGGAGAGTTGAAAAGAAGCAAATGCCCAAACCTTTTAACAACTCAAAGAAGAAGAATGGTTTGGCCCTTTCGGGCCTTCCTGGAGGACGTCTTGGAGGACTTCTGGGCCGTCTTGGAGGCCTCTGATGACCCGTTTGGGCCGTCTTAGGCCATGCCGAGGCCATCTTGGGAAGTCTTGGGTGCATCTTGGGACCATCTTCGCCGTCTTGGAGGCCATCTTGGCCGCCTTGGAGGCATCTTGGAGGCCATCTTGGCCGTCTGGAGGCCATTTTGACCCTTCCGGGCCTTCCTGGAGGACGTCTTGGAGGGCCCCTGGGCCGTTTTGGAGGCCTCTTGCTGCCCTTTCGGGCAGTCTAAGGCCATCTTGGGCCATCTGGGGCCGTCTTGGGTGCATCTTAGGGCCATCTTCGCTGTCTTGGAGGCCTTCTTGGCCGTCTTGGAGGCATCTTGGAGGCCATCTTGGCCGTCTTGGAGGCCATCTTTGGCGTCTCTGGGGCCATCTTGGGCCGTCTTGGGCTCTTCTTGGGGTCCTCTTGGGGGCCTCTTTGATTGTAATGGGGCCATCTTGGAGGCCCCTTGGGCCCTCCTGGGACGATGTTGGGGGCCTCTTGGGCCGTCTTGGGCCGTCGGAGACTTGAGCAGAAGAAAATGCCAAACTCCTTCAACAACCTAAGGGAAATCAATGATTTGCGCCTTTTCGGGCCTTCCTGGAGGACGTCTTGGAGGCCCCTTGGGGGCCTTTTGGCCAGTCTTAGGCCATCCTGGAGCCATCCTGGGCCGTCTTGGAGGCTTCTTGGACGAACTTGAATGCATCTTGGACCCTCTCAGGCCGTCTTGGAAGCTATCTTGGACCATTTTTTGCGACGTGGAGGCCATCTTGGGCAATCTTGGAGGCCATCTTGGGCCAACGCGACCATCTTAGAGGCCATATTGAGCCGTCTTGGAGATTTTCTGGTCGTTGAGGTGGTTTCGGGGCCATTCCGGGAACCTGGCGGGATCGGCCGAAGCCCCAGGGGGAGTAGTTCTTTTGGAAAAGAACCATAACCAACATCGAAAAGACCTCCGCGTCGCGGCCTTCGGATGTTTTTTTTGAGGCGATTCCAGCCACGAGTGTTTCCCAGCCGCCTGGCAGGTCCCTTCTCGCCCTCTCCCGATCACCGCTGTTGGGAGGCTGCCGCAGATTCGACGGGGTGGTGACAGCGGACGGTCTGCGCTATCGGAGAGGTGCGACCCTTCAAGACTGAACGATCCAGGGGTCCGCAGCCCTTCTGGCTCAAGACTGACGGGCGCAGCGCGGGCCCCTCGGGGCCGATCCGCGACACCGAACCAGCCGAACACTCTCTTCACTCGCGCGGCATGTCGCCGCAGAGGGTGCCAACCGCCCTCTTGGCGCTCCTGCTCGTCGGCGGCGCCCCCCGCTCGGCCGCCATCGGCGTGCCCGGCGTGGAGCCAGCAGGCCAGCAGTTGACGTCCAAGCGCGTCGGGGCGTCGTATTCCGCCGTGTCCGGCAGCTACTGGGGCCAGGCCACGGGGGCCTGGGGGGGGTTCACCAGGGACAAGACCGTGTACTGTCTGGCGGAGTCGACGACGCTGCAGCTTGCCGGAGATAATTCTTGGCACGCGATGGGCACCACGTGCTGCGACGGCTCGGGTTCGGGATCTCGCCCCGGCTGCAGAACCGGGTCTTACAGCACTGCCGTGTCGCACTGCTCGGCCTATGGGCTGCGCCTGTGCACCCTATCGGAGCTCCAGGGCGGCGCAGGCGAGGCCCACGGGTGCAGCTTCGACGACGGCCTCGTGTGGAGTTCCGACGGCTGCGGCGCCGCGACGCCCAGCCCGACGCCCTACCCGACGCCCAGCCCGACGCCCTACCCGACGCCTGGCCCGACGCCCAGCCCGACGCCCTACCCGACGCCCAGCCCGACGCCCTACCCGACGCCTGGCCCGACGCCCAGCCCGACGCTCGACCCGACGCCCAGCCCGACGGCCACCGTTCCCGCTTCTGGCGGTGTCGGGGCCGTCGCCGCCACCGGCGATCCCCACTTGCAGAATGTGCTCGGTCAGCGCTTCGAGTTGATGCAGCCTGGGAAGCACGTTCTGGTGAACATCCCTCGTGGGAGGCACGCGAGTGCAATGCTCCGCGTCGAGGCCGAGGTAAGCCAAGTGGGTGGACACTGCACAGACATGTATTTCCAAGAGATCAATGTCACAGGGGCGTGGGTGACAAAGGAAAGCCCGGGCGGCCTCCGCTTCCAAGCTCAGAGCGTGCGCGGCGACGAGCCGAAGTGGGCAACGTTCGGAAAGGTGGAGCTGAAAGTTACTCATGGCCATACTCTGGCTGGCGTCCCGTATTTGAACCTTTACGTCAAGCACCTTGGTCATGCTGGATTTGCTGTCGGAGGTCTGCTAGGTGAAGATGATCACGCGGAGGCGGCGACGCCATCGGAGTCGTGCGTTCGCCGCGTGTTCCTTCGTCAGCGTGCGGGTCCGAACGATCAGAGTGGATTCTCAGAGGCCGAGGCGAGCTTCGCATAAGAACTTGTTCAGCGCCAGATAGTATTTGGCTTACTTCTTCCAGGTGATGCGTCTAAGGAACATTAGCAGCATTTCGAACACGGCAGTTTTCGAACGCCGCAGTTCTGGACACGGCCCACGGGCCGCCCTTGAGTCGAATCTTCTTGTGCATCGTCAATTCTGTCTCTTTGCGTAGATCGCCCGAGACCCGGACGATCATCCAGCGCGGTGTGCGGTCTGCCGGCCGTCTTCTTCGGACCTACGTCCGGCGGCTGGTGGACGCCCCCCGTGCAGGCCGAAGCAGTCTCGGTGCAAGCTTCGACTTTTGTCACGGACGTGCCACAAACAGTATCCTGGCGAAGAACCCAACCGTATGCAGTCGTGAGCATCGCAGTTGTAAGCATTGTCCTTCCAGGAGCTCCCCCTGGGGCCGCGAAACCTTGTACTGGGCAGGGGAGACATATGCGAACTGCGCCACCTAAGTAGGACCTCCGGTGGAGCTCCCTATGAGGCCACGAAACGCTGTATTGGGTCAGGGGGGCGCATGCGAAATGCGCCACTGGGCCCCTCGGTGGAGCATCCTCTGGGGCAACGAAACGCTGCATGTGTGTGTGTGTGGTGTGTGTGTGGTGTGTGTGTGGGGGGGGGGGGGGACGCATGCGACCTGCGCCACTGGCTGGGACCTTCGGTGGAGCGCCCTCTGGGGCCACGAAGCGCTGTGCTGGGCGGGGGAGACGCATGCGAACTGCGCCACTGAGTCCTTCGGTGGAGCTCCCTGTGGGGCCACGAAGCGCTGTACTGGGCGGGGGGGACGCATGCGAACTGCGCACCTGGGACCTTCGATGGAGCTCCCTGTGGGGCCACGAAGCGCTGTATGCGTGTGTGTGTGTATGTGTGTGTGTGTGTGTGTCTGCGTGTCTGTGTGTCTGTGTGTTTTTGTGTCTGTCTGTCTGTCTGTCTGCCTGCCTGTCTGTCTGTCTGTCTGTCTGTCTGTCTGTCTGTCTGTCTGTCTGTCTGTCTGTCTGTCTGTCTGTCTGTCTGTCTGTCTGTCTGTCTGTCTGTCTGTCTGTCTGTCTGTCTGTTGTCTGTCTGTCTGCCTGCCTGCCTGCCTGCCTGCCTGCCTGCCTGTCTGTCTGTCTGTCTGTCTGTTCGTCTGTCTGTCTGTCTGTCTGTCTGTGTGTCTGTGTGTGTGTGGGGGGGCATGCGATCTGCGTCACTGGGGCCATCGGTGGACATCCCCTTGGGGCCACGAAACGCTGTACTGGGCGGGGAGAACGCATGCGAACTGCGCCACTGGGACCTTCGGTGGAGCCCCCCCTGGGGCCACGAAGCGCTGTACTGTTTGCGGGAGACGCACGAGGGCGGTGCCATTGTGGCCTTCGGTGGAGCTCCCTATGGGGCCAGTTGTTCGGAACCCTCCGTATTACAGCATGTGAGAGTTTTATGCGAAAATTCTTTGGAGACAGTTTTTTCTTCCACGGATGGTCTGGACAGAATTCCAACCACGTTCAGCGAATGATGAATCAGAAGATCGAATGATGAAACATAATGTGATTTGGGGGAATCGAAGTGACGAAGGAAGGAACACAGGAGAGGCTTATGATGAAGTGGCTGGTCATCGAGAGAAGCAGAGAGCAAACGTTTGGCTAAATTCGGCTCTGATGTTATGCGTGACGCATTGGGCTGCCTTGTAGGCATCTTAGCGTCATTTGAGCCGTCTTGGTCTTCCTAGCTATATTGGGATTTTTTTGAGGCGTAGTGAGCTACTTTTTTGTCTTGGAGGAGCTCTTGGAGACGTTTCGGGCTGCCTTAGAGGCGCCTTGGGTGACCTGCGATGCTGTCTTGGGCTATATTGACGCGACGTGGGGCAGTCTTGGGTACATCTTGGGCTTTGCTGGAGGCGGAGCTTGACCAGGCCATCGGGCGATGTGTTCCTCGGGTCTTGCCTCGACACCTTCGGGGAACACTTGAAGGGAAAAGAGGATGATAAGGACAGGGGAGAAACAGCAGGAGGGAGCAGGAAACCTCTTGAAAGCTTCTTGGGACACTCTTGGGATCTTAGTGCTTTCAAAGGACCTTTTGAAGGCCTCTTGGGAAGCCTCCTTGGGCTTCTTGGGGACCCCTGGGGGCTCTTTGAGAGCTTCTTCAGTCGTCTTAAGGCGTTCCTGGCCCATCTGACCCCGTCGGAAAGGCGTCTTGGAGGGCTCTTGGGTCGTCTTGGAGCCTTCTAGTGGCCGTCTTGGGGGCTTCTTGGGCTGTCATGGGGCCATTTTGGAGGTCTCTTGGGTGATCTTGGAGCTATCTTGAGAGCCTCTTGGACCGTCTTGGGCCGTCGGAGAGTTGAAAAGAAGCAAATGCCCAAGCTTTTTAACAACTCAAAGAAGAAGAATGGTTTGGCCCTTTCGGGCCTTCCTGGAGGACGTCTTGGAGGACTTCTGGGCCGTCTTGGAGGCCTCTTATGACCCGTTTGGGCCGTCTTAGGCCATGCTGAGGCCATCTTGGGAAGTCTTGGGTGCATCTTGGGACCATCTTCGCCGTCTTGGAGGCCATCTTGGCCGCGTTGGAGGCATCTTGGAGGCCATCTTGGCCGTCTGGAGGCCATTTTGACCCTTCCGGGCCTTCGTGGAGGACGTCTCGGAGGGCCCCTGGGCCGTTTTGGAGGCCTCTTGCTGCCCTTTTGGGCAGTCTAAGGCCATCTTGGGCCATCTGGGGCCGTCTTGGGTGCATCTTAGGGCCATCTTCGCTGTCTTGGAGGCCTTCTTGGCCGTCTTGGAGGCATCTTGGAGGCCATCTTGGCCGTCTTGGAGGCCATCTTTGGCGTCTCTGGGGCCATCTTGGGCCGTCTTGGGCTCTTCTTGGGGTCCTCTTGGGGGCCTCTTTGATTGTAATGGGGCCATATTGGAGGCCTCTTGGGCGCTCCTGGGACGATGTTGGGGGCCTCTTGGGCCGTCTTGGGCCGTCGGAGACTTGAGCAGAAGAAAATGCCAAACTCCTTCAACAACCTAAGGGAAATCAATGATTTGCGCCCTTTCGGGCCTTCCTGGAGGATGTCTTGGAGGCCCCTTGGGGGCCTTTTGAGAGAGAGAGAGAGAGAGAGAGAGAGAGATAGAGAGAGAGAGAGTGGGAGATGAAGGGGTATGGATATGGAGACGGCGATGGAGATGGAAGTGGAGAGGGGGATGGAGATGGAAATGAAGAGGGGGATGGAGATGGAGAAGGAGAAGCGAACAAGAGGGAGAGGGGTGGGGGAGCGATGGGAGGGGGAGGGAGAGAGGGGGAGGGGGCAAGCTAGGCGCGCTCGCGTCATACCTGACGTCCTACCGCTCCCTCCCATCCCTTAACATGGCGTAGATATCATCTCTATTCGAACAGTCGGATGTCGAGCAGGGCAATGATCCCGAGAGGGTGCGCGATGCATCGTAGAGCACGGCATAGCAGGGCGTAGAAGAGCACGGCAGAGCGTAGTATGTCATAGCATGGCGTGGCGTTGCGTAGTGAGGAATTGCATCGCAAAGCATTGCAACGCAAAGGATGGCATCGCACAGCGGCACATAACATAACATGGCATAGCATGGCGTTGAAGATCAAAGCGTAACATGGCATAGCATGGCGTGGCACTGCGTAGTCAAGCACTGCATATCCTAGCTTTGCAGCTGAAGGCATGGCATCGCACAGCGGAACACCACATTGCATTGCATTGCATGTCGTGGCATGGCACTAGAAATAATGATGCCAGCGCTGCAGCGGGAGGACGATTCGGAACGAGCGGAAGCGCGGAAATGAGGCCAGCGCTGCAGCGGGAGCACGATTCGGAGCGAGCGGAAGCGCAGAAATGAGGCCAGAAGCCCGAGGATGAGGCCAGCGCCTCAGCGGGAGCAACATTTGGGAAAAAACGAAAGCGAAAACCCCAGTCCCGGGAATCCTGTGTGTAAGATAAAAAAACAGTACGTTGAGGGGGGGCGAACATCTTCCGGACGTCAGCATGGGAGAGAGGAGAGCAGTAGTCGTATGGTGTAGTTCTGGAGGGATATATTGGGGAGGGCGGCAGCGAGAGAGTTGGAGAGGGAGGAACACGAAGAGGAGGATGGAGATGGAGAGAGAGAGCGAGAGAGCGAGAGAGAGAGAGAGCGAGAGAGAGAGAGCGAGAGAGCGAGAGAGAGCGACGCCGCGGTCGCCAGGGCCCCGGCGGCGCGCCGCGCGCGGACGGCGCAGCCAGGCCTGCCCGGCGGCGGCGGCGACACCCCAGACGTCCACCGCCTGGCAAGTGCCGCGGCACTTGCCAGGCGGTGGAGGGAGGAGGAGGGAGGAGGAGGGAGGAGGAGGAGGCAGGAGGAGGGAGGAGGAGGGAGGAGGAGGGAGGAGGAGGGAGGAGGAGGAGGGAGGAGGAGGAGTGAGGGAGGAGGAGGAGGGAGGAGGAGGAGTGAGGGAGGAGGAGGAGGAGGAGGAGGAGGAGGAGGAGGAGGGAGGAGGAGGAGGAGGAGGGATG